AGAAAGTCTGACTCTCTTTGGATACTTGATGTGGGTCCAATTATTGTGGGTTTTTCTAATAGAACATTCAGCCCAAGCTCAGACAGAACTCTTTGGTGGAGAAAAAGGGCAGAGGCAAAGCTTGTGGTGACCTGCCATGACCAGGGGCCCTGGTCTCATCAAAAACATCTACCTTTAACTCAACCACACAATGAGACGACCTGGGCTGTCTTTTAATATGTCAATTACCACTGTGTGCTCCTTCCTGTGAATCACCAGTGTTTTTAAAAGATATATAGCGCTGAAAGGGAGACTGTTCAACCAACTTTACATATAAACAACAGCAGAATTAAACTCTGACTTGGAAGATGCCATAAGAATGAACAAAATTAAGCACTGGAGCTGGCTTTTCTGAATGAGATGCCACTGGAGGTCTTTTCATGCTGTGTTTTGACATTATGAAACTTCTTGAGTCCTCATCCTTAAGGGAAAGGCAGAATGATTTAAGTCACACTGCTRCTTCCAATGCAAATGAGTACAGCCTTAAATTACATATTAAACTGAAACGACGCTGTTTTCTTTGTTTAACAAGAGCTCGTAAACTCTTCTGCATGAATGCATGCATCCTACCGCCACATATCCTGTATAATATTTCTGTGATAATGAAATTTAAGATGAATTCACAAAAGGTAAGAATGAACAAAACTAACTATAGGGCATAGCCAAATTAAATTCTTATGATTCATTAAGCAGCTATTAAAATAACCCACTAAGTCTAAGTTACTGGGGTAGAAAACAATGTATCTGCACATCACCAGTGAATTRCTTGAGCTCAGCCTTGCCCAGCAGGTATCCATTTCTGCCAAGTCATGCAGGGAGCAAAAGTCTCAGCCTGGAGCTCCTTCATCCCATTAGTTGATGGAATTTTTAGAAGGGATGGTGTAATCTGGAGATCAAGTGGTTTCTGTGCTGGGACTCACCTCTGGCAAAATTGTTCTGGCAGAATAGGTCCCTTTGAGCATGCTTTGTGCAAGTGTGGAGCGCCATCTTCTGGTTAAGCGAAGCCTAACATGAAGGGAAAGAAATGGTCTGTTCTTGTCYCTTCTGCCTCCACACACTCCACTACTTGAGTTAAACAGCAATAGAGGTTTGACGCTATAGGGTAATTATTATTTAGAAAACAAAAATAATTTATTTTCTTAGAATCGATATGTTGATCACAAATTCTTGTGGATTCACTGATATCAATGATAATTCAAGCTAATAAGTTGCAAATTGACAGTGTACAAGTATTCTGTTTGGCCCTCAGAGTGGTTTCTTCCATCTTATTCTATTGAGGTATGGTTCACACATGCAGTGTACAGCATGAATCTTCAGGCTGTGGTCTGATGCTCGGTACATTACATTTGTACGTTTTTACATGTATATAACCCATGTAATCATTACCCAGATCAAAATATGGAAGTTTCCAGCATCCCAKCAGCCTCATTCCCCTAGATCCCCTTAGTCCTCCCTCAGAGAGAACCACCATTCTGAACTCCGCCACCAGAGATTTGTAATGGCATCACTAAAGTACAAACTCCTAGCCTCAAACCCCCAGAAAGAATTAGAATGCTAAAATTACCATTGTAATAGTTTTTCCAGAATGTCCCTAAACATTCTGGGCTTAATGTTTTGCAGAGTCCTGGTGTCMATGTTCTCTCTCTCCCCAGTGGAAATTCCTAATTTATTATTTTTCTTCCCTASCTTGTCACTGAGAGATACATCTCTTCGGTGTACTGAGTATATTTTCCCAAGTGTCCCTGCAGGCAGCCAAAGCAATTTTTGAAGAAATTCTGTGGCATCTCAGAGGTGCCACTGACTGTCATGGCACAGCGGGTGAATTCTGATGCAGCATTTCAGAAATGAATGGGAACGCCTTGTTGCCCGCAGCTGCTCTTGACACCCTGTTCAAATTAAGCCAAGCAGTAGCATCTGTCCTGGAGTCATAATGGTGAGAAAGGATCTCAGCTTATAATCCAGCCAAGCCTACTTAATAATGAATAGCACAACGCAATCACTGTTGCTATTATACACCACCACTTTCCATTCAAATGAAACTAAGTTCTCTCTGAACATCAAAATATATAGTTATATGTCAAGAAGCAGAKCCAGTTTTGAAATGAAGTTGTTATTTCAGAGCTTTCTTGCATGTATTTATTTATTTGATTGTTGGATAAGCAGACACACATTCAATCAACAACCATGGTAGCAAACACGTTATTTCTGGGTGTTTTGCAAGATGTCAGAAACAAAAGTGAAAGATGTGCGGGTCCTCCCACATTGCCATGAGTCAAGCCTTGTTTAGCCTGCAGGCTGGCATTTAAGGGAATCACTRCCTCTCTTAGAATAAACAAGGCAGCAATATAAGCATTTTTCTAATGTAGCCCTTTTCACAAATGACCTGTATTTTTTTCTAATTATTTGTCATGACTTTGGAAAATAGAAAAATGTAAAGAGGAATACATAAAAGAAAAGTCTTATTGTAATAGCTTCAATTAATTTCTTTTGTGAACTTATCATTACACACCCCCCCTCTCTTTTCATGTGTACTTCTTGGAGTTAAGTTTTATACCATATTTTCCTCTAACATTAGAAATTCTCAAAACACTAAAACTTTGAATGACTTCACAATTTCTGGAATAAGAATGGAAACTGATTTATTAACCATCTCTATTATGGGATATTTTTATCATTTGCTGTTTTTACAATGCTTATAGATGTTTTATTTGAAATTGAGTCTTTCATTTCCTGCCATACTCAATGACCATCTAGAATCATGTTAATTAACAATGGCAAAACTGGCTGTCCCTGGTTTGTTCTTGATTTCAAAGGAATTAAACTGGTATGAGAGAGTTAAAAACCGTAGTCCTTTGAGTTCTAATTTTTAAACATCAAGAGTGGAGAATTTAACATTACCAAGTATCTTTTAGGCTGTTGAAATAAATAGATTGTACTGATTGAATGGATATGAAAATTATATTAGTTTAATATAAGTCCTCCTTCCTCAGAGTGAATACTATTCTATCTTGCATTACTATACTTTTAGCAAATTGTCAACTTAAATTCCATACTATTGTGTTTAGCACTGAAGGACATGTGTCTGTTATGCATTGTTCTTTAGAGATGACTGGTCTAGCAAGATTAAAAATAAACTGTCAATCATTCTAGTCTATAAATGGGGTTGCTGAAATGGAGGGCAGGCAAACGATTTGTGTCCATTTTTCATCCTCCTTTTTTTCTGACCTCACATCCCAGTTGTCACAGGTATCTTCCTTTTGTGACTCCATGAAGTGCTTTCCTTAACCTCTCTCTAAGATCTCATCAAATCGTTTCTTAGTTTTGAATTCTCCGTATTGCCTTCTGTTCCTGTAYGAGTGGTCCATGTCTTAAATTTGAGAGTTTCCCATCCAGCCCCTTTAGCCAGCAGTGTCCTCCACCTCACCCATCCTAGAGAATCAGATTGGTCCCAACAATGTGCTGAAGTGACAGGGATGAATGGCGCTTAGATAAGTTTTCTTGTGAACATCTTGTGATCTCTGAACCAGTCCTGTGCCCACTGAGGAGCAGAGCAGAGGAAAAAGCAATTCCAAAATTATGTGAGTACCATGCTGCTCTGGGCAGCAGTATGTGTCCAGAAGACATAAGTCACTTTCCAGGGACATGGCAAGAGGACACAGACAGAGACCAGAGCAGACTCCAGGACTGGCCCCATGTGTCTGCTCCAGGTGGCTGCTCCATCTAGTTTTGCTGTAATGATAGAGAACCAGCTACTCCAAATAATGTCCCCTGACTCATATACTACTCCTATATACTTGTAAAACTAAATACATTCCTTATGCTCTAATAATTTTTGTTTAAAAAAATCCTCTGAATATTTATTTCAGAACCTCACTTCAAAATAATGTCTTTCAATTTCAATTCTTTCCCAGGAAAATTCCCAGCCTTGCAAGATGAAGGGTCTTCTAGTTGCCCCCACACACTACCTATAAGCCTGATCCCCCACATACTCTAATTCCTAAAGTGTGTGGCAAGTGGTTTGCATTTAACTCGTGTTTCTGGGATTGATCTTTTTTTCTTGTACAGTRATATTCTTGAATGGTATTATTCATACTTACTGAAGGGGCAGAAGCAACTTTAAAGGATCATGCAGACCTTTTCACAAGTAGTTAGGTATAGAATTGCATTCAAAAAGAATGAAAATGAATGGAAGAAATGGTGACAAAAATGAAGGGGAAATCAAATGACCCAGCAATTCTGGTCATTTACTCAAAAACTAAAAGAGTATACCCATGSTCTTAGCAGMATTATTTGCAATAGCCAAAAGGTGGACGCAACCCAAGTGTCTGCTTGGATACGCAAAATGTGGCATATGTATATATAACTCAGCCTTAAAAACAGGAAATTCTGACACTGGCTGTAACTTGGATGACCCTAGAGGGTGTTCTGCTAAGTGAATAAGCCAGTCACAAAAAGACAGTGATTATATGATTCCATTCACATGCAGGGTGGTGCCTAGAGAAGTCAGGTTCACAGAGGTGGGAAGTAGAACAGAGGTTCTGTTGGGGCAGAGAGGACTGGAGATGGGAGGTGATCACTTTTGCAAGAATCTCAATTTTGCAAGATAAAGAGTTGATGTGGTGACGATGACACCACAAGAGGAATTGACTTAATGCCACTGAACTGTACACTTAAGAAGTGTTAAGATGGGAACTTTTGTGTTATATGTATTGTGCCAATTTTTTTTTAAGTGAACAGGGGGGAAAGTATACTATTAGAGCGAGAATCACAATGCAAATCAAACCACCAGCCCAATGCTCCAAGCAACAAGTCTTCCAAGCACCTGCTCTTCAGACCATCCTTCCTGGAAAGAAGTGGTTTGGGGAGTTGTTGGCACTGTGCTTCCAAGAGGTCACTAGGGTCCCTTGGAGAGCAAAGTGAAATGCTAAGTTCAGTAATTACTTTCTTCTKCTTCTTCTTAGGGTGTTAAACACCACATTATTTGAGAGCTGGGAGATCGTTGGACCTTACCCTTCCTGGTGGGTTTTTAACCTACTGCTGTTGCTAATACAAGGGTTGAATTGCTTCTGGTCTTACCTGATTGTAAAAATAGCTTGCAAAGCTGTTTCAAAAGGCAAGGTAAGCTAAAACTCACTTTTKATATGTCCCAGAAAATTTTGTGGATTGGTTTATTTTGTTTCTCTGAAACAACTGTAATTTCAGATTTCATTGAAATTGATGTTGTTTCTTCCAGATTGARCAAAGCCACATGGAAATACAAACTAAATTATTTTCTTCCTTTTGGTTCACTTTTGAAGTCCTTATATAGCTTTAATGATGGTGTCCAGTGATCTGCATGTGCAGGTTTAGTTTAAATGATGGTATATCATTTGTTGTATTCTTTCTCTCCTCTCTCTGTCTCCCCTGGTCCTTCTCTGACTATGTCTTTACTGAACAGAAATTTAATAAGTTCTTTCCTTTTTTTGAAAAGAGTTATTTGGTGCAGTATACCAATTAAAAAATTTATATGTCTCAAATTGAAAAAATAAATACATTCATGACTTGTCCAGCAACATTTAGTTAAATCTCTTTATTGGAAGTGAACTCGGGGCTGACTTGCTTAAAGCTTCCTTAAAGTTTCCTGAGCCTCGGTCCCTTTGTGTAGAACAGTGACTTTTCCAGATTGTTCTCTATGACATTTTCTTACTTCGTTGTTTGTTCTCTTCCTCCTGCCACCCTGGAAGGCTGGGAAGTGGAACCCTTTACATGTAAGTTTCTCATACTTTCTCTTTCCCTTACCTGGGTGCCACGTGCCTGTTGAAGGGACCCTTAAATGCTTTTATTTCATGCATCTTGTGTGTCTCATCTGTCAGCACTGACTAGAGGCTTCATGTAAGGCGTGGTTTCCACTTAGCTACAAAGAACACTAGGAACAGCTCTGCCCATGTGTATGAGCCTGCAGTCTCTTAAATTTTGCATGATCCAATAGAGGAATTTCTTTCATTGGTGTTTAACATGTTGACCAAAACGCAGACCAAAGTGAAGTGGGAGAAATAAAACTAGTTGAGAAGTTGGGGAGGATCAATGTTTTGCAGAACAAGAGGCCTGGGGATCAGCTGTCTGCTGAATCTACACAGCCACAGGAGAGCCCTTTGGCCTCCTTGGCCTCTTGAATCCTCACAGAGCTGACCCCCGGCCCCTACCAGGGGAGACAGGGCATCTAGTCATGTACAGTGAAGCCAGTTCTCAGCATCAGCTCCCACACATATCCAAAATATTTTGATCAATTAATGGCTTGGAAGCTTAAGTTCATTTTTCCCTGTGACCTCTTATGCTTTAAAACGAACATGTATATTTATTAAAAATTGATTTGGGGGAGTGGGTATAGGGGATTTAACCCTTGGACATTTAATCACTGAGCCACATCCAGCCTTTTTTTATTTTTTATTTAGAGACAGGGTCTCATTGAGTTTCTTAGGATCTCGCTGAGTTACTGAGGCCAGCTGCAAACTGCAGTCCTTCTGCCTCGGCCTCCCAAGCTGCTAGGATTACAGGCATGCACCACCACGCCCAGCCTAAAAATATTTTTATGCTCGTTTGGATACAGATTAAAGCAACATGCACAATACCATCAGCATGGTAATAACTAAAGATACAGGGGGTAGGATGGATTAAATAACTTGTATCTTTTTCRCACTGCTGTTTCCACCTGATGTATCCTCTTCCCTCTAACTTCTATTCCMTATTGTATCTAAATTGCCCTTCCTTTGAAGGTAACATAAGTATAGATTTTTCCAACTGCAATCAAAAATAATCTCACTAGGCATGCAAATGTAAATTCATCACTCTCTGCAACTGGAATTTTCCATTAGAAGCTTAATTTATGACTAATGGACTTAGAAACCTAATGGAGCTCTACAATAATGCTGTCTTTGTGATCCGTGTTTTTAAAGCTGATATCATCTCCGTCACATCGATGTCTCAGTTCTTTCAGAATGGTCTGTGTGAGTTCAGTCTCATCTCCAGGGAAACTGAAGTGAGGTTCATTTACTCCATCACTGGTTGGAATGGAGCTGTAGTTTCCAGCATTTACTTTCTCCTGTCCCCTCCTCTCCTGGGAGAGATGACATTCTCTCACAGTAATGGTGGCCCCTCGAGTGGTAGATTCCAGGACTCTCAGGTTGCTGTGGTGGTGGCACAGTAGAAGATACGATGGGAAAAAGCCCCCAGTTTATTCTGAAATACCTACCAGAGACACTGTAACCTCCACGACCCAAGAAAACCCCAGAAGACCAGATTGGAAAAATTTTATAAAGTTAGACCAACAGGGCCCTTTGGCCACCCCCAACCCCCTTAAAAATTAAGTAAACTATGCTCAGTTATTCAAAGATCTTAAGATCTGGGGGGGAAATGGTGACCATAATTTAGATTTATGGAATAAGAGTGTCAAGCTATTTTAATTTTTAAAACAATACAATATTTCCTTAATTTCCTCTAAAATAACATCCTTGCTAGGTAGTAGGATCTTTTCATCCTTTATGGTAACATATAGATTGACATTCTGGTAGACTGAAGAAATTGACACTACTGATTGAAGAAATTGGTCAGTTTTGGAGGATCTGGGCAGTGGATTTTCCCCTGGAAATAGCATAAGCTAGACTCACCTAAAAGATTCATTCTTAATATGGCTTCTGATGCCATTAGTTGATATGTGATGTATAAAACAAAATTGCTAATTAATATTAGCAGACAGAAAAGTAGATTAAACCATCAAAGAGTRTGTTACAAAACCACATGGGAATGATTTTTTTTTTAATGATCTAAACTAGGGAATATCTCTATTAGTTGTGGTTAATTGAGAGCTGACTTTAAATAATTCTCAAGGAAAAGCAGATGTTAGAAAGGAAATTGATCAGTTTGTATCCAGTTTCTGTGATGCCATTCCATTGCAGAGTATGCCACTTTTGAGTAAGAGTAGAACTCATGTTTTCAATATCCAAAGATACTTTAAAGAGGTCAACAGGTCCAACCCTGTGATTCCTAAATGCACCTACTTTCCTTTATAACTGACTTTGTCACCCAAATTGTATCTCTCCAGTGAAGGAGAATTTGTTACCATGGCAATGTTCTTATCCTCTTYGATTTTTTAACATTTGGATCAGTTTATCTTCATGTAAGATTGCATGTGCTTCTGAGCATGTCATACTTTGAGGTTTCTTGGAGGCTGGTTACACTTTCCATCTTGTGTTCTACAGGTGTCCAAGGATGATCGAAGTGATATTGAGTCTAGCTCAGATGAGGAGGACTTGGAACCTCCAGGGAAGAACCCTCACACCACAACAACTACCAATGGGACCGGTGGTACCAATGGGTATCTCCTGACCGGTCCTTGCTCCATGGATGATTAATTACTCAAAACTATACATCCCGAACAAAGTGAACTGTTTGTTCCWGGAAGTATTTAATAAGTTGCAAATGCAGTTCCTTTCATGATATCTCAGCAACAGAAACAAAAATTAGGATTATCAAAGCATTTTTGAATAGTGCACTGCCATATGTCCTGTTTGTGAATGAAGAAGAAATATCATTCTCTATATGTAGGCATGCTGTATGTATTTGACACAAGGGAACAGTATTTGCATTTGTACTTGTCTTAGAATATTATTTATTTTTTTGTATTTGTTTGTAAATCTGTGGACAAAAAAGGGTTTCCTCACTCCTTTTACTCTCCGGGTTCATGACAGTGAAGGAGATGCTCCATCTGCTTCTACCCCTCTCTCTCTTGCTGTAGTCCAGTGTGCTGTGAGCCTCAGCTTAGTTTGTCACTTAGCACAAGCAAAACCCAGCGCAGAACTCTTGAACAGCTACAAATAGGTTTGCTTTCTTTTGTGTAACTGTGCCCATTTTGAAGTTTGCCTATACAGYTGGTGACCATTCTCCAGTGTAAAGTATAAAGGATGAACTAGGTTTTTAAAATGTCACTCATCATGGTCACTGAGCAGTTCAAGTTAAACAGGGTGTTCTTGGGGAACTGTTTTGAATTTGCATCAAATCACTTTGGAATATACTTTATTTCTTGTGCACGCAGCCAAGATTTCTTCATTGAATGTTGTGGCCAGTTGAGCTTTAGCCTTGTAGTTTACAGGGKTTTTTTTTATTCTCTGTGATGAGGTGAGGGCTCTGACACTGAAGGAAGATGTCTCCTGGTTAAGCTCATGGTTACAAATAAAGAAATTACCGTTAATGTTGAGAATTTGCTCTACATTCTGGGAGTAACAAAAGAGAGCACTGATTTCAACCAGGTCTTGCCACTACCCTTGTGATTGGCACAGTCTTCTGTCATATCAAGAGAAAAGAAGCCAAGTGTATTTGGGGACAGAAAAAGGAGTCTTTCAAGAGTTGGCAAGGGCCACTTCCAGGGCAAAGCACTTTCTTAACAAACAGCTCTCAAGGAAAAGCCTATCTGGTATCAGACTTGATGTTTTTATTTTGCCAGGCAAAATRAAGCCCATGGAAGATAACTGGCCCATTGCTTTTCTCACCCACAATGACCTTCTTGTTTCTAGAAACTGGGCACTGTTGCACTCCAAGTCCTTTTTATTGGCTTCTTTGAAGACTTGTTTATTTCCAAGAATTTTGTTCAAATGGAGGTATTTCCAGAAAGACAACAGAAAGTCTTTTGGACAATGGCAATATCAGTGGTGAGGAAAATTACTGAATTATAAATCTCCATAAACATAGCAGCGTTATTTGTGTATGGATAAAAAAAAATCATACACGTCAGCCAAAGATTTTATCTCTTTTCTTCAAAACTTTAATAAGAGGGAATAAAATGGGATTATAAATACTTATTTTACAAATGAAAAAGACTGTCACCTAAAACAGGAATCCAAAGCAAAAATGCAGTAATATAAATGTGAGAATCTCAACTGTGAAGACAGCAGCAAAATCTAGAGAGTGCATGTCCCATTGCTTAGGGTCATTCACATTTAACTTGATTTTTTTAAAAACTTAAATCTTTGTGCCCACATTTTGCAACTAGTGAATCAATAGTTAAAAGAATACTCCCAAAACCTCTCACTGTGACATTAGATCTTTCCCTTATGATATAGTGTGTTTGTGGTATGGTCCATAGTAACAATCAAAGAGGCTTAGAGCTATGTAGGTTGTTTAGACAGGAAYAGTGAACTCGTTCTGCTTGTGGAGCCTTATTGTTTTATTTCATGAGACAGACAAATGTCTAGAAGTGTAATTTGTGGATGGTGGAGATTGTGAGGCCAGTCACAGAACACCAGAAGTATTTAGTCATCAGAATAATGCTCAAAAACAGGCTTATTTTTTTTGGGGGGTAAGGGGGTACCCGAGATTGAACTCAGGGGCTCTTGACCACTGAGCTGCATCCCCAGCCCTATTTTTTGTATTTTATTTAAAGACAGGGTCTCACTGAGTTACTTAGCACTTCACTTTTGCTGAGACTGACTTTGAACTCACGATCCTCCTGTCTCAGCCTCCCCAGCCACTGGGAACATATAGCACTGCACCCAGCTCAAAAGCAGGTTTATAAAAAGTGCATGATAGCTGAATTTTGAGAAGGTGGAAGTTTCTCATCAACCAAGGTATAAACATAGTCACCTGACTTTAGTGTCTGGGAAAGTCCTCTGCAACGGGGAAATGAACTAGAGAAACACCACATGTCCCAGTTTAACAATATGACAAGATTCAGCCCAGAGGAATGATTTAAAGATCAGCTTATAATTTAAAGATTTAGAAGAGGTGCCTAAGATGAAGTAAATTGATTCCTGTCCTTAGCAAAGGCAGATCTAAACAATCTTTTGTTTTTCTCAGAAGTAACTTATAAGGATGACTGGGGACACTCAGTTTTACTGAATGATGGCAACTAAACACAGTCTTCTACATGCCTATGGATTTTTTCATTTCATACTTTAGGGCAAAGWGTTGTTTTGGCTAATTAAAATGGAATGGGTAGGCTTTTTATGGTGTAGAATAATGTATCTCTGTCCACTGCTCTCCTATGTTGGCCTGATAAGGCTTGAGAGAACACTGTGTGAGGTATCTTATCCACCTGTGCCAGACCCTGGCTTTTGGAGGCRTATTTTGTAAATTCAGCTGTAGGTTAGTGAAAGCGTTGTTTCTTGTTAATTAGCCTGTGGTGATGTCTCCTTCCTCCTGGTCACATTCAAACCTTCCCCGGGTACCAAGGAGTATGTAGAAAGAACTCTAGAAAGAATAATATTTTTAATCTCCAGTGTAATAGCTTTTCTAGATCTCTTAGTAGGGTAAGAAGTAGAAAATCAAGTAGAATTTGGCCTTGGGTTAATAAATGATATAAAAGTCTGTGATCTATTGTATGTATATGTATGTTTCTCCAAAAACTGATAAAATATTTCTCCAAAATATCACCAATTCATCTTTGTCCATATTCTTGTCCTAGAAATCATCCACCATGTAAAAAGARAAGCTTCTCTTCTCCTTTGGTCTTGCTCCCTACACAGCTGAGAGTAGTAGAACCTATTCATTCTCTTTGCCAAGGGGCTATRTATGGTAAAATACAGGTCATAGAGTGCCTGTGGTCACACAGAAGCCAAACATAGTTTATGTTTCCAAATTCAGTCCTATGGATGTTGAAAGAGTAGAGGAGCAACTATCAGTATTGGGGGTTATTTGAGTGTTCGTTGTAAAAAAATGCAAATGATTGTCACTTGCCCAGGTTTTATTAAAGTCCTACTCCTGGTGGGCTATCATACAGATGGTGTCCTGAGCTGCCATCAGATAATGCCACAGTATCTGATAAAAATGAAGGAGGCAGAAAAGGTAGGCAAAAGCAAGATCAGATCAAATCATCTTTAATCAAAATGGCAGGTGAATCTCAAAACATCCAGTTCTGTTGCCAAATTTTCCACTGAATACAGTCATGCCCATATGGTAACATTTTGGTCAACAATGAGCCACATATATGACTGTAAGCCCATAAGATTATAATATAGCCTCAATGTGTAGGCTGTACTATCTAGGTTTGTGTAACTATACTCTCTGATGTATACATAATATTGAAATTGCTTACTGACTCGTTTCTTAGAATGTGTCTCTGTGGTTAAGCAACATATGAATATGTTTGATAGAGTTTGAATTTGRGCAAACTGAATTCCTTCCTTTTAGGTAGAAAGGATCTGAATCTTCCACTTTGTATTTAAATAYCATGTTCCTTGGGCTTAGTAAAAAGTAGGACTTCATTTCAGCTTCCTGAGTCTTTGCTAAAGAACTCTTCAGAGAGAAATTTATGCCTGCTTATAATGACCCCAATCTATTCATGATTTCGTATTCSTAGTTAATTTTGTCTCTATCTTAAAAACATTAATGCCAAAGTTGCCTGAATATTTGAGTATTTCTTAATTTGACTAAAAAAAAAAAAAAAGCATAGAATAATTCCAAAGGTGTTAAAAAGGTTCCGTCTATCAGTCTGTGTGATGGTGTTTTCATTATATCCAGAGAGATTTCAAGAAATCATTTGGAAATAAAAGCTTAAATGTTTACATTTCATTTTGATATTTGAGTTCTTAAGGTTCTAATAAGCTTGCCAATTGCCTTGTCTTTGGCTGATTTCTACTTTGTAAATTCATAATAGTAGCCCAGAAATGTTTCTGACATCCCAATAAGGAAAACAAAAAAATTTAAATCAGATCTAAGTCAGCCTGATGAGAAAGTGATCATGTGGCACTCTCAGGTTTAGGTAACTTGTTTATAAAAAGAAGATTCAGGGACCCTCAGCTGTTGCCCTGACCAGCTAGCACGCTGGCCACAGGAGGAATGATCATAAGCAGTTCATTAATTGCAGTTCTTGAAGAAAAGGCAACAAGATGTTTTTCTTAAATAACGATGTCCCCAGAATCAATTGAGGTTTCTCTTGGAATGAAACTGTGCCATTCTCAGGTTGCTATGCAGTAATTAGCACTAGTTCACCTGCCACCTTTTAGTTCTTCCWAGAGAAGGTCCCTGGGATTTCCTTTGTGTGCACAGCACCTCCCACCCCTAGGGGGTGCTCAGTGGTGCTGAGAAGCCCTATCCACTCTGCCATTTCAGCTCCTCTAATAAGAGGTAGCATACCTGATGCTGCTTTTCATGGAGAAAAACTGTATTGGAGAACATAAAACATCACAAATATTGTTCAGGAGCTCTGCAGACACCCAAAAGAGAACCTTGGTCTTTTCCAAGTTATTTCCAACTTAATTTCAGTCCAAAGCCTTTGATGGGCACACGGGGGAGTCCCCATCAGGTCAAAGAAATTTTAAAAGTCTCTTCATCCAGATGTCTCCTCAAAACTCGAGCACTCTCAGGATTGCACAGGAAGTTAGCCTAAACCGTATTGTTTATCTCATTCACTCACGTTCCTTTCAACCTTCTGGAACCCTCCCTCCATGAAAGAAAGCCAGGAGGTTGTCATTTTTCTGTTTTTGATTTTTGAATAGCCTTTGCATCAGATGTATTCCCACACCTCTTCCTCTGCCTGATCCCACTTTTCTAGGGAAAAAAAAAAAAAGTATTGTGCACATGTGTGCATGCATCTGTAACACAGGTCCATGAGAACTAGGCTTCCTAGGTCAGTTGTGTAGCCTGAAAACCAGGGAACAACAGCTGATAGTGTGGTTTCTTTGGCTGGTGAAAATTAGATTTCATTCCTTTTTGTGTGTGGTGTGCATATGTCCTTTTTATCTGAAGTAATTGTTTTAAACTGTCATTGTAAACCTGCCCTTAAAAAGTTAAGGATTTTCAAGATGAGCTGGAAAAAAAAAAAAAAAAGCTCTATATTAGGAGCAATTATGTGATGATTCTGAAACTTCATCTTAGAGCTTCATTAATTTAAACATAGAAAACACTCTCAAGTTTGACACAAAGTTTCCTAAAGTCCCTCAGATCCTTGCTTGAGATTGTTATCAGCTCTGTCCACATAATCGTCATTTACCTCCATAAACATTTGTGTCATGGAAGGGGGTGGTTAGTTTTTGGATTTG